TAATGTGCTCTTTTCCTCCTGGTCCCATCAGTTATATAGGAGGAAGCTGGTATAAATTTGGATCATTCTTTGGGGCCCATAATTGTTCATTGAATAGGGGTATTTATGGAAATTTATTTCTTCCTCTCTTGCCCATGCTTAGGGGCTTCTTTTCTTCTCAATCAACCTTCCAACCAAAAGATTAGTCAATTTAACCCTAGCCGGTTTGGCTCAGTGGGTAGAGAGCATTGGCTTGCAGACCAAAGAGTTCCGGGTTGGATTCCAGTTAAGGGCACATACCTTGGTTGCAGGCTCCTCCCTGGCCCAGGCCCTGGTCAGGGCGTGTGCAGAAGGCAACCAATCGATGTGTTTCTCTCATATCGATATTTCTCTCTGTCTTTTCCTCTCTCTTTCACTTTTTCTAAAAATCAATGGAAAAATATCCTTGCCGAAACCAGTTTGGCTCAGTGGATAGAGTGTTGGCCTTCGGACTGAAGGGTCCCAGGTTTGATTCGAGTCAAGGGCATGTACCTTGGTTGCGGGCACATTCCCAGTGGGGGGTATGCAAGAGGCGGCTGATCGATGATTCTCTCTTATCGATGTTTCTGGCTCTTTATCTCTCTTCCTTTCTCTCTGAAAAATATCAATAATTTTTTTAAAGGAAAAATATCCTTGGGTGAGGATTAAAAAACAAACAAACAAAAAACTAGCCAATTTAAATAATTTCACCTCTTCATCTTTTCTCCATCCCTTAACCTCTTTCTTCCACCATCCTACAAAAATGGTCATTGTAGAATTTCCATCTAACTTTCTAATTCCTAAATCCTATAGATATATTTTCAGTTTTTTCTTTATTGATCTCTTTGTGGTCTCCCACGCTGTTGACTGCCCCCTCCAGCGGGAACTTCTTACATCCCTTGACTTCCAAAGCACTCCTCTTCCCTGGTGATGATTCTAATCATCAGGCCAGCCCTTTGTCTTTATCAGCTTTCTCTCATCTGACCAACTATCATCTATCATTTCAATATTAAACTTGCCTTCCCAACTTCTGTCTTGTCTTTCAAATCTCCCCGAGTAACCACACTTGTAACTCATGTTTCAGCTGACTCCTTATTTGCTTATTAATCCCAACTCTATCTAATTATGACCTGTCTTCTGAATTCCAGCCTATATTTCTGATGACTTCCAAGCACATTCAACTACATTATTCAAACTCAGTTTTTGAGGGGTCATTAATTCTTTGAAAAATCTAATGAAAGAGACCCACCTCCCAAATACACAAATGCTCAACATTTTGCCTATAACTTCAGGGAGTGAATGAACTGCCAGAAGCTCATCTTTGCCTTTGGATCCAGACTCCATGTTAGTCACTCTTGAACTAGAATAAATAGGATCAAGTCCAGATGCCCTAGCTCAAAATCAGAGATTTTTCCATCTTGTACTATGATATGGTCATTGTTTATCAATGTTTTCTTGCTCAGATACTCTCCAATGTGCTATTCTCAGGTAGTTTGACCTGATACTTTGGAATACCAACCAAGCACAAGACAAAAGTTAACTTCCATTGCTTAGTAGAACCCCCATCTTCCAGATGGAACAAGAGCTACAGCCACTCTGACATCACTTGACCCACTGCCCATGCGTCTTGCAGTAGAGATCCTTCACCTTTGCCTTACAGGCTTCATTTGTTACTCTAAAAACTTATAGTTGGAAACCTTTGTTTATAATTTCTGGCATGGCCTCCTTGCTTCCTAAATTGTTTCCACCTTTGGTGATTGTGCAAACCCTGGAAAAGTGAATCAAATGAATCTGTAAATCTCATGGATGCACAGGTGGTTTAATTTTCTTATAGTCTGGTTTGGCAACTTGATTCTTTGAGCCTCTAGAAAAAGATGATTCCACAAAGACTCAAACTTCCTTCCTATACACATATCCCAAAGAGTGAGGCCTCTCCTGGTTGGCAGGACAGGGCTTTGAGAACATCTCTCCATTTCAAACTTCTGCAGAAGCAGAATTCCCCTTAGGACTCAGCCTTAGCCATAGCATGTGTGGTTGGAGCTGCCCGCTGTGCTGAAAGCCAATCCTCTCCCCGAGGGCCAGTGCCGGAGGGTAGACAGGCGTCTTCCTCATTTACCTGATTTTTTCCTTCTATGTTTGTTGTCTCACTGGCCTTGCAATGCTGTTCACCTGGCCAGCTTCACGCTCCCCACCTCTTCCTTCTGCCTCCATGCTAGACGGCACCTTGTTTCCAGGTCCCACCAGTGTTTCTTGTCTACCCCTTTTTGTATCAGCCATTGCCTGCCTTGCCCTCCCCACAGACCCAGCCAGGTTGGCATGCCTTGCTTTATTTTAGACATGCCTTATTTGATATCAGTAAATCAAATTTGCCTATCAATTTGAAATTAGATAAACTCTAAAAGCTTATAAGGATTAACAAAGTTATCTTCTAATATTTCTGTATTGAAAGCAAATAATCTTGAAGGAGTTTTAAACAATTTTCCACCTATAGAAAATTCCATTCTTAACTTTTAACAAATATTATTCCTTAAACTTTTGTTAAGAACAAAGTACCCATCGGTGCTTATTTATAACATTTTTTTTTTTTTTTTACTTTTCATCATCATAAGAAAAAATCTGTAGGCTCAATAATGCAAAACACATAGCACAAATGCTTTAAGTTTTGCTTGTTGAGTGAAGTTTTAACATATATTTTAAACATGGAAAACCCAAATCTGTATGCCTGTGACTTGGCATCAGGAGGAGGAAGGTGTTAATTACCACGTTGCCAGGAGGTTTATGAACAGGCATTAACATCTCAGCAGGAGCACAGGTGGCACAATAGTGACTTATGGGAAGAGGTGAAGAAAAGCATCATTACATACAGATTTATTTTCAGTCACAAAAGCTCATGGTTTTCATTTTAGGGATATTGAACAAATGTAATTTTTAAAGGATGTTCCTCTTTAATAGCATAATTACCTTGCCATCTTTATTATCTGCATAATTAAAACAGAAATACTTCACTTTTCCCTGTAGCAATTCAATAAAGGTATGTGGTTACTATGTTAATTCATCTTTTTAATTTATTATAGCCACGCTGCAGTCAGCACTTTTGAGGTTTGGTGAACACAGCTGGATTTTGAGAACACTATCAGCAGGGTTGAGAAACTAATTGCCCATTTAAATTATTTAAATTATTTTTAAAAATCTCTCCAATAATTGCATATATACTGTTTTTCTTTTAATACAACAATCACATACTCCAAACTTAGTCTTTTCAAATTAATTATTTTGGCCAATTTTCCTGATAGAATCTGCATTCAGGGTGTTGTGTTTAGTAAAGTTGATTTAGAGCTGTCAGGGAAGTCTTAATTATAACTCTAATCAATTTAGGTCAGAGACTGGAAAATTTTCAGATCTTGATTATTCAGAAAAACAAATAAGGACTATATATATTTTAAAATATTTAGGAACCACATTCTTGTGATATAACTATTAATTGCAGTTTTTTACTGAAACCACTGCCTGAATTCTAATTTTAAATGAAAGGAACAAGGGATTTAAATGATAGGATTACGGGTTATGGTTCATGATTGGTTTAAGACGAATGAACAGAAGTGTTAGTAACTTAGCTTGGTGCCATTCATTATGCCAGATCGCTCAGCACATATCAGTGTATCAGATGAAAGGCGAAAGTATTTACAAATATGGTGGCATCTAAATGTGATACTGCTTCTATGAAAGGGGTGATTTAAAAGTTATGGTTGAAAAAAACCAAATCATATATTAGCTTTTTAAATAAAAACCTTGCAGTCATTTCTGAAAGTCTTCTGAAAAACACAATTAAAATATGTATAAATAATGAATTAACTCCACATGTACTAGTGGCTGTTTTTTCAGTTAGTATCAGCATTTTTTTTGCAGAGATGTTTATTTTAACAGAATATTATCTCATTTATCAGCATCCTAATAACATATATTCACATTCTTCTATTTTAATCATGTAAATTGACTTTATAAAAGTTAACTAGAGAATCAAACTTACAACAAAGTTTAATGAAGGGACTAAATAAATTAGCAAAAAATTATTTGTAAGCTGTTGCTTTTCAGAGTAGTTTCTGGTATTTCTTGTGGCATTAAAACTGAATTTGCTTCAATATATATTTTGTAGTACATACTTTTTAATAGATAGCAACTTATTTAGAATGAACTATAAATACAAAACAAAAAAATAGGTTTTTAATGTTCCAATTTAGTTGAATAAAATATTTGCTTTAATATATTAATAGTAATGAGACTGTAATTTATTTTAAAAATCAAATGAAATAAAGAAAAAACAAGGAGTGGAAAGAACATTAAAAATACTTTGGTTTTTAATTTAGTATATTATAATGGGGTGAATTATCATTGTATATACTTAGTTTCATAACTACTTGTTTTCAGATAAAGAAAACTATGCTGATATATGTTTAGATTATGTGTATAGTAATTTAGCAATTTAATTATTTTAATTTTTGCTATGTCACTATGTATTATAACTTAAGACTTTTAAATATAAACTTATAAATTCCTAAGACTTGAAATAATAGTTTATCATTCATTTTTAATTTCTCTAGCTCACTAATTTATACATCTTAGATATTCTTCAAATATTGGAATTTTATTTAAAATAAACATCAAATAAACAGGTATTTGTTCTTAGTGAGATGATAGTGTATGTGAACACAGCACCATACCAGGCACACGATTGGTGTTCAATAAGTTCTTGCTAAATCTTAAACTTGCCTTTCTCTTATTATAGAATTTTCTTTCCTGAAGTGATATCATATAAGGAGATAGAAAAAAGAGCAATCAACGTTTTGTGTAACCGCTGTGTTCTAAAGGTTAATTAGGTATATTTTTTGTGTAGTTTAGACTTTCTGTGACTAAAGCTAGCAAATAGTTTGAATTCCTATTATATTTTGGACATTTTTGCAGAACATTTCTTATTTTCTTTCTTTCTTTTTTTTTTTTTATGAAAGCTGAAAACAGAAAATTTTTTCATGAACAAGAGGTTGAAAAATGCCTTGTAACCCTTTTGGGCTCTGAAAGTGATGGAACTAAAATTGCTGCTTCCCAAGCGATTTCAGTAATGTGTGAGAATTTAAGCAGCAAAGGATTTTTCAACCATCAGGGTAAGGAAGCTGGAAAAAGCCATTTTGTACATTTTTAGGTTACCACATTCCAGTTGATGTGGATGTTGGCAAAGTTACATTTCGCTTTTCTTTTTCTGTAGGGATCCCACAGCTAGTTCAGCTGCTGAAAAGTGACAATGAAGAGGTAAGGGAGGCCGCAGCCCTGGCCCTGGCTAACCTGACCACTTGCAATCCCACAAATGCTAAGTAAGTACAAAAAGACTCACTCAGCACTGCCTTGTATGGGAAATCTAACAGTGCAAGAGGTGCGCATTTTAATACTTTGGCTTTCAAGGAAGTTTCCATTCTTTCAGATGATCTACCTTGGGATAAACTCTTAGGAAACCTTCAAAACCCATGTGAACATAAGACATCAGATAAGCCTGTTTTGCAAAGATGCAGTCATGTGCCAATAAGGACTTTTCAGTCAATGACTGACCACATACATATATAATGGCAGTCTCCAAAGATTATATTGGAGCCCCTATTATACTCAGTGACATTGTGGTCATTATAAGGTCACAGGACAACACATTACTCACATGTGTATGAGGATGACAGTCATGTAAAAGTACTATATACCATATTTTTACTGTACCTTTTCTATGTTTATATATGTTCAGACACATGAATACTTGACACATGACTATTATAAAATCTTGACTGTTTCTGGGCTTGTTTGGACAAATGTGCAGACCATTTGATTCAGGTAACAGGTTATCTCTTGTGGAAGATTCCAATATAAATAAAACTGGGTAATGATGGAAAACTTAAAGATAACATATAACAACATTTGATAAATGTAGAAAAACTTAAAATATCCATTTTAAATATAAACATAATATACAAACACTAGCTAAATTTGAAAACATTTAAAAAATCAATTTAAAGCAACATATTATGGGTAAATAGTATGAAGATTGGAAAGGAGTGCCCTCTGTATTCCAAGCACTGTGGTATGAAACTTATAGTCAATGAAAAATGTAGTTATAAGAGAACCCTACCGCTAATGAAGAAACTGCTGCTCTGCAAGGTTACCTAATTTTCCTGGTATAAATATTTATTAAAATAGCCAAGCTGGAAATTAAATCAAGGTCTGTAGGACTCCAAAGTCGGTATTCTTTTCTCAACAGGAGAAAACAGAAAGAATTTCCTTATAAATCAGAAAGAATTTCTTGAAGGAAACTTTTATAAGTAAACAATAATTATTTATCCTCCCTAACTATCAATTGGTATGTGTATTAGTCAGTGTTCTCTAGAAAAACAGAACCAATAGGAAGATAGATAGATAGATAGATAGATAGATAGATAATTTTATATATTGGAATTGTCTCATTTGATTATGGAGGCTGAGAAGTCCCACGATCTGATCTCTGTAATCTGGAGACCCAGGAAAGATGGTGGGGTAATTCAATCCAAGTCTGAAAGCCTTGGGAGTCTTCTAGTCATACTTTTCATTATTTATTATCTGCAGAATTCTTTATTATCACTTAAAATGGATAAAAATGTAAAAAGGAAATAGAAAATAGGAAAACAGGATAAGAGCAACCAGATTCACTTATTTAAAATAATAGAAAGAGAGAGAAAAGTAAAATTATTTTTAAGTTAGTAAATAAAAAGTGAGAAGGCTAAAACAGCCTTCTATAAAAATAGATGAAAATAAAAAAATGGAATCCAAGAGCAATAATAAATTTTATGTAAAAATATAATTCACTAGCTGGTATGGATTCTTTATCTATCCTTTACCCTTTATCTATCCTTTCTTGACTCACTGCTAATCTTTTTGACAACTCTCAATTTGCAATGCTTTTTGGAAAAGAAAAAGTTAATGCTTTTTAAAAGAGAAAATGCTATTTTCAGCTAAATTTCATATTATATTTATCTATACTCTTCTATCCAATTCATCATAAAAAAGTTTTACCCTATTCATGCAAATACTAAGAGAATTCTTCTTTTTTTTAAAAATATATTTTATTGATTTTTTACAGAGAGGAAGGGAGAGAAATAGAGAGCTAGAAATGTCAATGAGAGAGAAACATCAACCAGCTGCCTCTTGCACACCCCCACTGGGGATGTGCCGGCAACCAATGTACATGCCCCCTACCGGAATCGAACCCGGGACCCTTCAGTCCGCAGACCTACGCTCTACCACTGAGCCAAACCGGTTTCGGCGAGAATTATTCTTGATTGACATTCATCTGAGGGGCAGATCCTACATATTATAAGAAAATTTTAAACTATTAATTTATAACATCACTGCCATCTGTTGGATTTGATCAGAATTAGAGTTTTTAAGTTATCCCAAGAATGAAAAGTGCTCAATGTTTTTCATTGCCCTTTGCCAACACTAACTAAATTTTGTTTATTGATAAACTATAAAAAGATTACAAAATATTATAATTATTGACTAGATGTTTTTCAAGAGAGACAATTATTTTAGAAAGTAAAACACAATGAATAAAATAAAAATATAAAAGTAAAACCTGTAATTATTTTAGTGCCTATAGGTAAATCAAAACTGCAGTTTTGCTATAAAAATAATCAAGAAGAGTATTTACACATAGATCATACTAACTCAGATTCTTCATCCTTATTCTACATTATCTCCATGAAAAACTGGATGATTTCCCAAAACTTGAGAGTCCTTTTATTTCAATTTCCTTGTTTTTTTATTCTTTATTTTTTATACCCTTTCTTGACTTCCCATAACAGTATTGACTCAATATAGTTCTGATGGCAGCATATATATATATTAGTTACTGGGAAAAATTGATTGATTGCTGGGCCACTGCTGGCCTCCACAACAGCAAACACAAAGAGCTTCTCTCTGGGGGACGGTCCCGCTACTGTGATGTAAGCAACAAAGGAAGTGAAGAGTCAGAAAGGAGTATAGCCCTAAAGGACCCCAGAAAGAGCCAGAATGCCCCAAAACTACACGGATGTGCATTTGAGAGCTTTAGGAACTATGGAATATCCTCATTATAAAGGTAAAGCATTAACTAAATTTTAATACCTACTATCGATAGAATTATTCATGGAGGACCATGCCTAAGAAAGCCATGGGATTTGTAGAGAAAATGTTTAAAAGGTATGCCGCATGCAGCACTTCACACAGAAAGCACTTTAAGAAAGGGCAGTACTTCATTTATTCACAGCGACCCAAACTCTCAAGGACATTTCAGTATTGTCAGCGAAGGGCCTGATCTTAATGAACTTCTTGAAATGTTAAATCTCTAATGTGCACAGAAAGCGCTTTTCAAGGCTTTTGTGTTTGTTTTCATCCCCACCGCATTAAATAGAATTGGGAAGAGATAGTATATATTTATTTTTACATTTCTTTTCATTTCTTTCATTCTGTAAATATAAGTATAGACTAATGTTATTCCTTAGAATTGCCTACATTTCATTGCGCACTTAAGACTGTAGTGCAGTGAGCTGAAAGACATTTTGAAGGAAAAAAACCCTGCCTCTCTTAAAGTTGGCAAAACACCACAATTTCACTCCCCTACACTTCATTCCTTGAGGAAGAGATTGGATATCTGCCTTTGAAATGGGGAGAGAGGTGTACTATCACCCTTTGAAAATAAATTTTAATGTCTGTTTCAGGTCATAGGCCCTGGCCAATAGGCAAGGATTCACTTAGCTAAGCAATCCTGTCATTGAGAATGCTTTTAAAATTATTATTAAAGAACCTCGACCATATAAATAGTCCACGGTGATTTACAAAATTAAAATACAGTCTTATGATAAGTGTAAAACTCATGTTATAGATTTGATGTATCAATCGGACTTAGTAATGCTACAGTTGTGTGGTTATTGTCTTTGTTGCCTGGATTTTTCACAGGGGAATGTTTCTCTGAACCCTTCTCCCTAACAGTGAGAGGAACTATGTCTTTATACTGACCCCTAGTGGTAGTTTGGGAGGAAGTTGGGGGAGGGGTAAAAAAGGTAATGGAACGATTGCTCTGCATTTTAGTGAACCGCACCATAATTTAATTGGAAGCATTCTCCAATGTGCCTAAAATAATATTTTTAAACATTTTTAAAATAGGGTGATCTGGAAAGCATTTAATTGTGATGCTCTTAAAAAGATAATATCCTACTGCTAAATGTGTATTAAGAGATGTTTGGGTTTGTCTTTGTCCTTTTTTTAAGGTGCAATCACTTCAAAATGTGTTGACACATTCATTATTCTGGTGGCTGAATACCTGTTGTGGGTTAATCTTATTGTTACTGTAGTTATTGTAGGGTTTATTTTTTTTTTTTTGCTCTTGACTTTGTATAGGAAAGATGATTTTGTTTTAAAATTCCCATGTATTTTGCTTTGTTGAAAGATACTTTGTTCTTTGAATTAGAATGCTCACGAAATGAGTGCCCTACATGATAATGTGAGCTAGTTCCAAAATATCTCAGGAAGTTCGGGTTCACATTAAGGATGTTTCAAACCTAATGTTTCAAACATCCTTTGTATTAAGGATGATTCTTCAAAGAACTACACAAAATGTTATTTATTACTTTAAATGGCTTCTGAAATGAACAGATTAAGTGGATGGGCACAGTCATCATGGTAAATTTAAGAATTATTTCTGCATTGTTGCTAGCCAAGTTTACTGAATGGATACTTTTCCTTTTCTGCCTGATGGAATGTTGTCATAACATAAACTATTCTGGATTGAGAAAATTATTCTGGATTTGAAGAAATATATAAAATGAAAAGCTGGATTTTGCAATTAAAACAAGTTGACTCCACATCCCCATTTTGGGTCAGTTGATGCCCATTTGACCTTCTCAATTTGAACTTTATTAGTTACCCGTTTTGTGAGGCTAGGTGAATTCCTTGAAATATTCAATTACAAAATTATCCATGTGCTTTTATTACCTAGAGATCAGTGGCTGACTTTTGCATAGTACTATTTTTAAATTGCTGGTACCTCTTTTAGGTTTACTAGTAATTTCCAGTGCTACTGATTTTCAGAGGAAATGAACAGTTTGCCTATCTTTACATTTTGTGAATTTTCTCTCACTCTTTCAATATCAAGCAGTACTTTAAAAACCTATATAAATTTCATTTTTACTCATCCGTGACCTTTTACATTTGCCTTTTCCTAAGATTTGTTTCCCTCTAGAAATTGCCTTTGTTGCTCAATGATTGCACACACCTAAAAGGAAAAACTTGGGTGGAATTCCTGAGGAAATGCCCCAGTTCT